ACAAGTGTGGAGGGGAGCATGTGAGCCGCCATTTTCAGTGTCTCAGGCTCACAGAGCCTGTCCTGAGGGTCGTGTGCACATTGACCCCCAAACACTGGAGGGAAAGAGAAAACCGTCACCCAGATGCAAACCTGACATAATGCCACATTCAAATGGCAGGCATTGGACAAACATGGATGCAGAAACCAGGAGACAACAGCTAATGGCTCGACGTTTCAAGGAATGTTCTCATTGTGAGGTTTTCCCATTGAGACAAAGTCTTGAATAGATGCAGGTGGGAGCTACCACTGTCCAGGAGAGAGCGGCCAAATGAATGTGTCCCTTGAGGTTAAAAAAAAAAAGGTCAATTAGGGAAGCATGGTGTCTATTCCCAGGTTGTATGAACTGTTGTATTAAGTGTTGTGGGGCATCTCCAAGGGCTGGACAGAAAGGTTATGACCATTCTGGAAAAAACAGTGTTGTGATTGGCCAACCATGACAGCCCAAATCCTGTTAAGCAGTGGGATATTGCCATAAGTCTATAAAGCATATGATTGTTTAGAAATCTGAATTCACTGGTTATTTAGTTCAAATTATTGAAACTTTGGGAGTAATATATTTTTTAATGCTTATTTATTTTCAACAGAGAGAGTGCAAGCGGGGAAGAGCCAGAGAGTGAGGGAGACACAGAATCTGAGGCTTCGGGCTCTGAACTGTCAGCACAGAGCTCGACGCGGGGCTCGAACTCGCAAACCGTGAGATCATGACCTGAACCGATGTTGGGTGCTTAACCAACTGGGCCACCCAGGTGCCCTTTTTGAGAATAGTATGTTAACAGCCTTGTTATCTTATGATTCAGAGACAGGCATAGCAGAGGAAAAGTCCTCGGAGAAAGTTCTAGTTAAGCGTGTCATACCTAAAACACAGGCTCCTTATCTCTAAATCTCCATGTTTGTGGAAAGAAGGACAGAGAAAAACTTTATGGCTAACTAAGGACGGAAAATGCTGCCATGAAAGAAGGTGTCACTGAGTCATAAAACAAAATAATAGATTTGGGTGCCAATTCAGGATGTCTACACTAAACTCAGTCCAAACTGAATTTTAAAAACAGGGCAGGTCTCAGAGAAATGTCACCACACCAGCTCCATTCCACTGGGTGTTGTATGAAAGTGATGAATCACTAAATGCTACTCCCAAAACCAATACTGCACCCTCCGTTAACTAAACAGAATTTAAATTTAAAACATTTTAAATAATTAATTTTTTTGAAAGATAATTATTAATAATTAAATAATTAATTATAATAAAATAATTGATTGAGGCTTTTTTTTAAAGGCAATACCAGCTCCATTCACAGCCCCGCTGAAGGTGGGGGAAAGCTGTTTTGTCCCTTTGGATCCTGTGGGCTGGCTACATACTTTCAACTTTGTAACTTATGGACTGTCCCCCCTGGGGGGAAACAAGGCAACTGGATAAATAAAGCTCTCTTTTTAGTTCTTTCATGGATATTTCATTTTATTTTATTTTTTAAATTTAAATTCAAGTTAGTTATCACACAGTGTGGTCTTGGCTTCAGGAGTAGAACCCAGTGATCCATCTCTTAGGACACCCAGTGCTCATCCCAGCAAGTGCCCTCCTTAATGCC